AAGTGTTCCCCGTCTGACTTCCTATGTAACAGACTGGCTTCACATGCGACTGTTAAAAGCCAGAAGCCCTTATGCAAAGGCCATGTGGGCTGTGCGTGTCAAAATGTCACAATGGGAGGGTGTGTGATGAAGCTGTGTTTATGCAACATGCATGAATGTGTGTGTGTGTGTGTGTGTGTGTGTGTGTGTGTGTGTGTGTGTGTGTGTGTGATCGGCCTCAGGGCTCTAATTAGAGTCAGGGGTGTTCAGGTATCTCAGGTTGATTGTTTGTAACTTGATCCTGACATGAGAAAACGAGGGCTTTAATTTCAGAGGTTTCTCTATTTTTTTTAAAAGGATTTCTTTTTCTCCAGGCTGTAGTGGATTTCAGCTGCATAACGTGAGCTCTTTTAAAGGTAGTGACATTCAGAGGGAGAAAATGCCATGTGTGTTGGTAGCTTTAGGTGTTTTCCTGTGGTGTGGCGTGCCACAGAGGGGGGTTTCTACTGATTAAAAATTGATGAGCAGCTGAGTGCCGTGTAGCCTGAGCCGAGCATTCCTGCACTCTTTCATGTCGTGTGTATGTGTGTGTGTGTCTTTGTATGTGTATGTGTGTGTCTTTGTGTGTGTATGTGTGTAGACTAAGCTGGAGACACAGGCTAAGGCTGGGCTATTGTGAAGGTATCAGATTTACAGAAGCTCACATTTCGCCTGTTTGTGTGTGAGCGAAGAATACAAAATTAAAATCTGTTTTGAAATGTTTTTGCCACATTCCTCTGTTTCCTCACATGTTCATTATTTTCTTTCTTTTTGTGTTCCATTCTTTTACTACACATACTGACAAGTGACAAGTATTTTCCCTAGCCTGTAGCATTACTGTCAGCGTTCAAGATCTAACCCCTAATGTTCTGTTTGTGGTCCTGGAAATGTAATCTCTTTCCTACTTGTCATATTTTGCATCTAGGGCAGAGGCCCCAGGCATTACAAAATGATGCAGGTGGCAGCCTTTTGCATTGCAACTTGATGCAGAAGGGGTTGGCGGTAAATAGGGATCAGGGGTAAGTTTTAGGCAACAAAACTACTTGGTAGTAGTTAGGAAAAGATCGCAGATGTCTCAAAAAAAACAACAGCTGGCTCAGTGGCACAAATACAGTGGTGGGAAGGGGTTGCAATTAGGTTTAGGCAGCAAAATTATTTCGGTGTGGTTAGGAAAAGGTCGTTGTTGATGTAAGTCACATTCGGCGACTAACGTAAGGCATTGGTGGTTAAGGTTAAATAACAAAACTACTTGGGTATGGTTAGGAAGAGATTGCAGATGTTGCTGAAAGAACACCCGGCTTTGAGTAGCACACATGTGCGTGGAAAGGCATCAGCTTGTGGCTAAGAGACACCTTAAGTCACAAACACTGCAACCGTATCTTGAACGTCAGTCTCCTGCGGCAAAGTCTGTGTGTGAAAGCAAGGTGACAACATGGAAGGAGTCGCTAGAAGTGATGAACCTTGAATCACCTGAAACTGCAGCTCCTCTTGACTTAACAGAGCTTTACAACAAATTTCAGCCCAGTGTTTAACTGTCCGGCTGCAACTTAACTGTTTTGCTTCACTCTCATACAGTGTTGTCTTCAGTTACAGCAGGCAGCTGGTTTCAGTGAAAAGCTCTGAAAACCCAATATACACTACCTGCTCAGCACCAAACAGCAGACAGACAGAGGTAGAGACTAGCTGGTGAACACAGTGGAGCATTTAGCAGCTAAAGAGCCAGATATTTCCCTCAGGAGTTGGTAGAGAGCAAGATATATATATGTTTTTTATGGTGCTAATAAAGAGACACTATTTCTAAATTACCTTAAACTTTGGTTCTCATCTGTATATTACAATTTCTTCCAACACACATTAATACCACGATATGCATAATAAGCTAACACGATCTGATATATTAGTCAATGCTTTATGATAATTTCTTCATCAATTGTGCAACTCTAGTTTGTAGGATATGAAATTGAGTTTACAGAACTGAGTTTTAATAAGGCCTGAAAAAAAGAAAATACAACAATTAAAGGAAAAGAATAGGTTGATTTTTCATTTATTATTTTTACACTTACAGTCATAGGATCTGTGGGACCGCAGACAATGAGTAAGTCAGGTCAGTGTCAACAAAACACAAGTAGTGGCATGCCAACACTTCCTCCAACAAACGTGGCAGCATTATAAATGTCAGTCTCAGTCTGGTGTGTGTACCTCTGTGAACGTTTTAAATAAGCTGAGAGTTAGTGAGTGGAAAAAGAGAGTGGCGAGAAAGAGATGAAGAGGAAGAGAGGAGAGGGTGAAGGCAGCATGAATGAAGGAATGACCTCATCCTTGCCTGGCCATGCTGTTGAGGGGGATTATGAGTAGACCCTGGAGAGCATGTGCAGTAAGAGCAAATTGATTGGTGAGGATCTCAGAAAATATGGTAATTCGTCATCTTTTAAACAGTTTTTAAGTTGTAATGATTAGCAAATAATTTCCTAATGCTTTAGTTTAAAGCCATTAATAAGAACAGTCTTTGGGGTGACAGGTTGTGAACACTCTTCCTTTGATTGGTTCAACTGTTAATGGGACTAAAATCAATTTATTAACATCTTATTAACATTTACAATGACAGACTTGATGAATTAAATCCTTTTATTAATGACATGCTAACATTTGTAACCTTAGACTCATTAGGAAGTGGGAAATTCTGAATTCCTAAGTGGGAAGTATTTATTGATGAATTGCCAACATTCGTATAGGCCTATTAAGGGAATACTTCACATCGCAAATGATCATTTGCATGTCATTACTCTCCCCCTGTTACACTGAATCGGGTTAGTTGATTTGAAGTCATAAGGGTCCACATTGTGATATTTTTCGAGAAGTGACATACATAATTCCCAGCAGCAAGTCGCCTAGCTTGTTATTAGCAATGGTCATTTAGCTTACCAGAAACTTCAAGCTCCCTGGTGATCTTCCTCCAGCTAGCTGCCACTTTATTTAGGTTTTGGTTGGGACATGAGGTTTCTTTAAGACAATTCTTTATTTCAACCTCATGAATCAGCCATTGCTTGTCCATTGTGGCACTTTCAAAGTGAGCAACATGAATAAACAGAAGCAGGGTGTCCAACAAAAGTTCAGCTCAAAACAGTGCACCGCATTGCTCGGGGCCAGTTAGGACGCCTCTTTCATCAGCTTCAAATCCAAAATGTTGCCATACTGGCACTGTTTTAGTTTCCTTTAAAGACCAAATCTGCCATGTGTCCTCTTGTCACCCAAAATCCATGAACTTTCTGCTAAACAAACACAACTTGCGCCACTGGTCCTCCTCTCACCTCAGTTGAAATTTGATATCCTTAATGTTGCTGGCAGTTGGCTCAGACTCAATGTGCTCCAATAGTCTGTTTATTAACATTATAAACCTTATTATTAATGCAATACAAGTTGGACTTATAGCTGTGTCACCATCAGCACAGGTTGCTGATTTAGGCTACTGTATAATTTGCCAGAACGTGTCATAATGACAAATGCTGGTTCAGCCGGTTTGTAAAAATCAAAGTGATTTAAACACCAGACTGAACCAGCAAAACTGGAAATCGACCCAACTCTATTGAGCATGTAACTGGATAAGTGAGACTTGGATTATACTGCACAAGTTGAGCAAGATTTTGTAAATGAATGTTTGGCTATAGTTTTGCTGTTGTCAAAGCCAACACATTCTCACTCTGACCTCGTCACATGTTGACGTTTGCTCAAGGACTTTCCACGTCCACATAAGATGGGCAAGGTACCCTGGGTGTGTTGGTTGTGGACGCTCTGGGACATGTTGTCAGGTTCTGCCTGTTACATGCATTGTCCTCTTTCAAAATACACTTCCGTATTCACAGGAAATTTAACGTTTACATACAGTCTCTTTCAAAATAAACGCACTACATTGGTAAAACACTGCGAATTGACTTTTTTTTTCACACGTGGTTGTGTTAAGGCAGCAAAAGCACACAGTTAGGTTTAGAAACAAAGAACAGGGTTTGGCTTTAGAATCTTGCGGGACACAAACCGCTCTCTTGGGTGAAAGTTGGTGTTTGTTGCCATTTGTTGCCGCCTTAACTTTCGTCCTTCTTTTCCCGTGACACCACCGGACACCGCTAAACTATAACAGCAACTGGCCGCATATCATGCTGACGTTAATGGATGCCTTTTTTCGTCGGTGTCTGACGCCGCAAGTCACTGCCCAGGTGCCGGATTTCGACAACTTTGGAGTGAGACCAGGATCTTAAAGCGGACCTCTATGAGTTCAGTTCACTAAAAATGTTCACCTTTTTCTTGATTCTTCGTTCACTGTAGAGGCATGAAAAAGAAAAAAGAAAAACAGTGTTTTTTTTCCAAATTCAATGTAACATGGGGTGAGTAATTGATACACAAATGATCATTTTTGGGTGGAGTATTCCTTTAAGAAAGGCCTACCATAAAAAACATAGCTCACAACCTGACATACCAAAAGTTGCTCACCGTATTAATGGCTTATAACTGATCTATAAAGTATTAGCAATTTGATAACTATTAATAAAGCCACTATTTACAACTTATTCTTTATAAAGGGTGGCTGATTTACTATAAATAATTAGACATTAAAGGATGCAAAGCTGATCACAGACTATTTCCTGCTTTTTGCATGTTTAAATTTCCTTCTTCTTTCCATACTCACTCCGGATGATATGATGCGACCCTGTGTCCTGACATCACTTTGCGCCCCGGGATATTGTAACTGTAGAGAAGCTTCGCGTAACTGACGGTGATGTAACAGAAAACTTAGAGAAGGAAGAAAAACGATGAGAATAACCTGCTCTGAATGGTGCCTTTTGCTCTGCAGAGCCTCCAGCAACAAATTGTGGTGGATTGAAATGCAGCATTGATGTGAGTGAGAGAGAGGGAGAGGGAGAGGGAGGGAGGGAGGGAGGGAGGGAGAGATAACCCAGTAAACACACAGCTCCTATGGCAGAGCCGTTCCGCTTCATCATCATGCTGTGACCAGTTGCGCGCAGACACCGGAGCCAAGAAGAGTCCGACCGCCAGCCGGGTTTTTGATCAGATGTTTGGAGTTTGCGCCGCAGTGATGTTCCTGCGCTCTTAACGAGAGGAGAAACACACGGAGAGAGGAAAAAAGAGACGCCGGTTTTGCTGTTGTCGCCTTGTCCTGCTGGACTGACATCGCATGGGGACATGAACAGTGTGGATCCAGCCTCTAACAAACTGTTGACTTTCAATCAGCGGTAAAAACACAAAAATCTTACTCTTACCTGTGTTTATGCATGCCAGCTTTAATCTGTTGAATGCATAGCTCTCTGTCGTCGCTGTGTCATATCCCTGCAGTACTGGCATATTTTATTATGCAGCCCCGAGCAAAGAGACAAAGCTGGAGAGACACCTGCTCCGGTGCGTAAAGTGCCTTATTACGCCCATGGATCGGCTAATTATGTTTACAGTGATCGACTGTATGGGGCGAGTTTTAAGACTTGTCTAGTTATGTATCAAGTGCATAATTTATTGATCTCTTTTGGTTTACTCTGGGATGGCTGGCAAACTGAGCGCCACTGAATCCACAAGTCTCCAGTCTGGAAGTATTGACGCTCCTCAACAGACTCTTTCAGCCACAACAGCTCCAGAACCACAGCGCTGGTTTACGCGCAGCTTTGTCGCCAGTTTCACGAATAGTAAACTGATTCGGTTCATCTGTGCGGATATTCTGTTGCTTATTAATTGATCTGTGCCGCCTCTTTTTTTCCCGGAGAGCAGATATTTCAGTATGAGCACGGAAAATGATGAATTATTCATGACGTGCTCTTCGGTACAAGGTAGAGTGGAGGTGCATGCAGCTCTGGCTATATGACAGCGACAGAGTTAACCTATGCGGCGACACTGGAGGCAGCTGGCTTAAACTGTGCAGCAGAGTTCAGATGTAGTCCAAGGTCGCTCAGTCAGTAGTAGCTCATTTTCTCTAAGATTGATCTGAAAATGCCATGCTGCAGCTCTTTACCAGCAAGAGAGTGGAGCTGCAGTGACACTTGAACAGGGAGAGATCATATAGTGAAGGTAAAGCTCTCATGGCACAGTGCTGCATATAGCAGACGCCTCTTTGCTGGCTGCACCAATTGTGCAGAGAGGGAGGAGAGAAGAGGCAAAGATGTCCTGAAATTTTCATGAAATGCTCCAATGACTTATCATATTCCCCATATGGCATGAATTTGCTTTGTACCTCTTCTCTGTATTATGCATTTTCATCCAGCTCATCCTCGAATTTATAGTTTCTGTACATCACTTGTAGCAAAATGACTTTATGACTTCTTTCATTAAGAATAATCTCTGGTGGAAAAGTATGATGCCTCAGTAATCATCTGCGCTGTGCATACAGTGCCACAATCTGCAACTTCGGTTTTTAAATGAATCAACAAATCTTGGATCAGATAAATTCAAATTGGATGAGAAAGGTTTAAATCCCGAAATGATTCACCAAATTGAACCGGTTACCTCACACAGGGGGGAAAAGACTCCACCTCGGTTCTGTCATTTACCTTTTGAACCTCACATCTCTGCAGTCGTTTCCACGAACTGCAGCAGTCGACTGACTAAATTATTCAAACTTTCACATGTATTTGCCAGATGTGGATGTATATATGGATGAGCAAGATAAGCTGTTAAATGTTTGATAAATTCTGAATGTCTGGCCTTTTTATACATTTCTTTGTCATTCTCAAGAGTCTTGTGAGTGATATCACTTCCACACCGGTTATCATCAAGGTCTGTCGGTGTATTCAACTTTTCTTTCTAGCACAGTCTCAAAAAGAGCCACTACATAGAGTGATTTAGGAGTTTAAAGAGTCATACGGTATTTAACATTACTGATGAACAGATTGGCTTTTTTTTCTTGAGCAGCACGAGGTGGTTTAGTATGCTGGCTGGCAGTGTGATTTATACTTCACATTTCACTGTACTCTATGGAGCCTTTCAGTGGCGACTGGCCATTGTCTTGTGACAGAAACCACAGTTTGTAACCTTTCCCGTACTCCATTACTGAGGGCAGCAGTTGAGTAATGAATATCTATTTTACCTCTTTGCTCTTTCAGTGCTATTTCTCTTTGGTCCAAGCTTTCAAAGTCATTTTTCTTTGGCTAACAGCCATTACGCTGCTGGAAAGTGACTGAACCACTGTGGTGCAGAGTTCAAGTTATGATGTCCAAACACACGGGCAGCTTTGAATGCAGGATAATGGTTTCATTCCGGGTAATACCTCAAATATATGTTAAGCAGCATGTCAGGAGAAGGTAATTTAACAGGCCTATAATAAATCACCCTTGTTATCACAAGACTTGTCTTTTACTAGTGTGAGACACTGTGGTGTGGGCCTCCTTAAGGCTTATGTATACTCCCTTTATGTACAAAAGTAGATCACAAACGTTGTAAACGTCATTGTCCTCATACTCCCATGCGTCCTTTAGGATGTAAAAGTAAAAAATCTTAGACAAATGAGACAATGGTGGTGGAGGTTGTAGTATTGTTCAGCAGTGGTCTGTGAGGTCATTAAACACATCGTGACATGTAGATAGCAAATTCTTTTCATGATATTTCTGATTCATTCTGTTACGCCTTTTTTTTTTCCTGCCTCACTTGAACTACGCCACATTGGCCCCACAGTCTCTAGTGATACTGCTCCATTTTGTCCATATCCATAAGCTTTCAGAAAACAAGCACAAATACGGATGACATGAACAGAGATTACGAACAGGAGGCTTAGATACTGTGCGAGCTACGAGCGTGCAAAGAGGGGTTTGTGCTCAACAGGTTGTTAGTGTAATATGTTCTGAAACACCAGGCGGCGTACAGAAATAATAAGCTGTGGATAAGCAAGGAGTCAACAAGTAATACTGGAAGAATGTTACCAGAAAAGTAGGATGCTTGGCAACACTGACGTACCACCAAACATTGCATTTGTGTACTGTAATTATTACTGTTGCTTACCTCAAAGTCAAAATAATTTTTACCGCTTTGATTTCCCTTCAGATCGCCTCTTTCAATGGGACTGTTTTTTTTAGCTTTTATAGCGATCTTATCATGTTCTTCACACCCTGCAGCAAGTAGCCTCCTCTTTCCCCAATGTGGTGGCTCTTTCCTTCCAATAATTTATGGCCATCTGACCGTCCATGTGATCTCTCGATGATTTTCAATAAGAGATCATTAGAAATGTCTGTGCAGGCAAACCTTCTCGGCCAGTCTTCCCTCAGCGCACCAAGTTACAATAATCAGAGATGCAAGACCAAGTGCTGCAACAACTTTTAGTGCCTTTGCACTCAATGCGAAAGGGTGATTTCATCATTTACTGGCATGCAAAGCTCACGCTGGGAGTAGCACAGTGAGCATAAACCATGAGTAAGAGTCTACAGCCATGCCAGCAGCACCTTGAGTTGGCACTTACGAGTGTTGGGGAGTCACTCGTTACATGTAATGGCGTTTTGCAGCTACTAATCAGTAGTTACTGATGGAAAATGTTGGTGATTACAAATAGAGGTTGCTGTGCATCTTTTTGCCATGCAGGACTGCCTACTTTTGGCATATTCCCAGAAAACATGGTTAAGCAAAGCTGTTGCGACAGATTTGAATAAACACCCTCCAGGGTAGGATGGCTTACGAGGAGCTGTCTCTACATACAGACAGGCTCCATTCATTTGGCAATATGTGGCAAAATTTTGAGCGTTGTTACGATTATCTTGTTTGCATTTGCATCACCTCTTGTCTGTCAGTCAAATCAATGTGCATTGTTCTAAGCAACCTGAGTCTGCCATGCCTGCAGCCAGCCAAGAATGCCAATGTGGGTGGCCGTGGTCACTGGACAAGTGCTGGAAACTTAGCAATATTTTCCTTTTGAAATCAGAAACGGGCTCTAATATTTCTGTACAGCGTAAAGCTTGTTTACCAGCACTTTTAACCAATAAATTATCTGTAAACTATTACATTTCAAAAGTGACCTTCCCCAAAGTAACCTTGCCTAGTCAAAGCTTATTAATATCGAGCATGTTGGGTATCCAAACTGCACCAAATATGACACTGCACGTCCTCAGCAATACACTTGCCAAGTGTGAAGTAGATTGGATGAAGGGTTGTTGAGACTGGCAAAGGACACAGATACAAACAGACAGAGAGGCAGATATTCTTTGCTTCATAGTTAGATGGGGAAATGAATGTCTGCACCAAAATTTCATGACAGTCATTCAGCAGTTGTTGAGATATTTAAGTTTGGACTAAGGTGTTTGGCCAACTGACTGACATTAACATTGCCATCCCATACAGCCACACAGATAATATAGCTAAAAGATGAAAAGGAAAGAATATAAAATGGGCATCAAACTTCATAATATCTGTGCTGTTTAAGCTGTTTTTGTTTTTTTGAAAAATGTCATTATTCTTACTCAGTACTGAAACAAGTACAGTGTTGAAAAACTCGAGATTTGAAGTAAAAACACACTTCAAACAAGCTTCAATCCTTATTGAAAAAGAAAGAAGGAAGGAAGGAAGCGCTGCTTGGGTAAACGAGGCAGTAGTTTTTTTTCCTTGGTTGTCTGCATTTTTTTTTTTTTACAAACAGCAAGACTTCCTTGGTTTTTTGTTCAAGCTTCAATCCTTAGTTTAGTTATCATGATTGGAACAAGAACTCCTAACAGGATGAACAAGCTCACACTATAGAGGATCTTTTTTTTTTTGGACTTTGATTCCTCTTACACACTCTACTTGAAATCTGAATATGTCATCTTCAGTGTGTTGCACTCCCAGAGTGCTTTTGACAGGTACATGTTCCTCATCACACTCAAGACACTTTACTTCCTCGGCTCGTTCCACCTCTTTAATAGGTGTCAGCACGGCGTTTTGGACTGACAGAAACCACCTTGTGCACAAACTGCTCTTACAGCTGAAATACATAATGTATAGACGCGTCATATAGGCGTGGAGGAACAGGGTTTTTTTAGGTGTTACAGACTCTGTAGGGTGTGGTTGCTGCAAACTTCAATGTGTCTGTATTGAGTTTAGGGAGATAATGCAGTTGGTTATGCAGAGTTTGGAGGTGTAGGCTACATTAACTGGTGGTAAATTAATTAACTGGGTTGTTTTAACTACAGGATCATGGATGCATTCATTTGATTTATTTTCACGTGAAATGCTGGCACCTTTTTGCCACCAGATTGTTTTAGTTTTTACCACTGAAAATGTCCTAACCTGCTCCCCGTGTCAACTAGCAGGCTAAGCAGACTAACCCTGGCTTTATTTTTGCAAAGGTTTGCACACCTGAAACCTATTTTCAGAGCAACAGCAAGCCGTTCCATAGGCTCGCTTAGGGCTCGGTAGACTCCCTGAATGTTGTTGTCACCTGTAGTGCATCTGGACAGTTTCTTGCTCCATCCTCCAGAGTTTGATCACTTGCTGTATGTTCGGAAGAGGTGTGCACAAGACCTGTCCCACCATGTCCTCTGATCCATGTATTTCTGCTGTTAGTTCACCACTAGCTACACCTCCTACGTGTGTTAAAATGTCTCTCATTTTTAAAGTGAAAAACTAAATTTGAAGACTGAACCTTTTCCCCAAAGTACACAAGGAAGCATTCTCCATCTGGTTCTTCTCCTTGGGGCATTATTCAGCCAAGTGTTGTGGATTTGAAAACATGTCTTTGTGTACAAGTGCTTTGATGCATGTACTTACTCAAGCCAAAAAAAGCCAAACCAACTAACCAAGGTTATGAAACAAGAAATATCTCTGGAACCACAGCCACTAGAGGCATGTTGTTGAGGGTACATGCAATTCCAAACAAAGAAAAAACTAACTACCTTATTATATCAGTCATTATTGCCTCTCAGTTCAGTCTAGACATAAAATGTCCATCCACAAATCCCTTTAAACATCACAGGAAGCCTTTAAAGAAGGAGATGAGCTCCAGTAAGAGATGGAAAGGTTTCATTAGGAAGGTGGGTTGGGTGGTATCATTCAATCTTCCCACCACCAAGGTACAATCCTTCTCGTGACCCCCTCTCCGAGGAAAGGTGAAGGGTAGGAAAGATAGCGATGGGTGCTGATAGGAAAAAGTGGGAGCTTATAGAGACAAAAGCTGCGATGGAGCACGTGTTGCGATGGCGCTCCAGCAGACCCCACCCCAATCAGCAGCATGCAGAGTGAGAGGGTGGGTAAGGGAACAGTGATGGATACATCCTGTAGCTCAGATGCACTTTAAAATGCGTCCTTTAAGCTTGAGTGTACATTATGTATTAACAGCCCCACTCTGCAGAGGGAGAGAGAAACCTGACCAGAGAGTTAGGGGGAGATATATGAGGAGTGGGGGATGTGGTCTAGAGAGACAGAGGAAGCAGAAAGCATGCAGGTCATATCAACCACAGTTTGGCCCTTCCCAAGTTGGTAGGTTGTTGTGTTTCGTACTGGTACATGCAAAGTTATTTTATGCATGCATATTTTTTACAAGTAGGTGCAGACACACAATTTATTTTTCTTTTGAGAAAAGATGTCCACAAGGGGTAAATGGTAAGTAGACTGCACTTGTATAGCGCCTTTCTTTCATCCGACCACTCATAGCGCTTTTTATACTATCTTCACCTATTCACACACTTATAGGGCTGCAACGATTAGTTGACTAATCAATGACTAATCAACTATTGAAATAATCGGTGACTATTTTAGTAGTCGACTAATCGGTTTGAGTCATTTTTCATGGAAAAGTACTATAAAAGTACTCCAAAATACTCCTATTGCAGCTACTTACGTTCAAACATTGGCAGCTTTACACACTCTCCCATGACGGTGAACTAAAACCCTTTGGCGTGAGTACGAAACAAGACAATTTTGGGGTTTGGGAGAGACAGACCGACATTTTTCAACATTTTAACATATTTTTCGATAAAATGATTAGTCGACTAATAGAAGAAATAAACGACAGATTAGTCGACAATGAAAATAATTGTTAGTTGCAGCCCTACACACTTATTCATACATTGAGGGCCGAGGCTACCATACAAGGTGTCACCTGCTACTCAGTTTTTTTAACACACTCACACACTGATGGAACCGCCATTGGGAGCAATTTGGGGTTCAGTATCTTGCTCAAGGGTGCGTCGACATGCAGACTGGAGGAACCGCTGATTTTCCGATTGGTGGACGACCCCCTCTACCTCCTGAGTCACAGCCTTGTCTTGTAGTCTTGTAGTGAAGCGAGAACTCTGCAAGTATGCATCTAGACCCTTCTCCATTTTTAGGACAAACTCTTAGCTGTTCTGACATAAGCATGCTAAAATATTAGCCTTGTGCACCTTGTCTGGGAGCAGAACATAAACCCACAGTGGGTGAGGACGCTGTCTCTCTGATGTCCATGGTCAGTGAATGAGTGTCAATTGCAGTGTTTGTGTAGCTTGTATTTATATTGAAAATATTTTCCTAATGCATTCTGACGGTTCTTAATTTCTTAGTTGGAATAGTGAAGGCCACTGATTGCTTTGCCGGTGATGTTGCTGCTTGCAACTTTCTCGAAAACTCATCATACAAACAACTTCACACTTGACACTGCACTTCCTTGGGTCCTGACTGATACACCTGCATGGCAAACTTACACAGTGTGGGTTGCAACATGAGAGTGGCGCTGCACCTGAAGGCTATCAACTCATGTTCATTGACACCAAGGAAGTGATGAAGAGTTTGGTTGTAACATTTTCCCCACTGGTTAATAAACTTGTGAGGACACCGGAGAATCCGATTATTACACTGACATTTTACAAGGAAAGATATTCATTGATGATGCTAAACATCTGTAGAGTGCTTACTTTGATCTTTAATGTTGGATCTTTTGATCTTCCTCTTACTTTGAGCAAACATAATGGCAGCAGTTGGTGTGGCAGAGCCTGCTTTTCTTTTTGAAAAAGTTACAACTTGGACTCCTTCATCTCCCTCGTCTTCCAAAGGGTGTGCTCTCCATTTGAGGATGACCGCTTCTTCCTCTATCATCCTCTTGGTCTCCTCAGCAGTCACGTTGTCGGGTACTAACGCAGGGCCATGAATGTTTCTTTGCGTATAAAGCCCTGGTGTTGTGTCGAAGACTTTTTCCCCGTTGATGTGTTTCCCTCCACCCAAACCTGACCCAGACCCTTAGCTCTAACTCTAACCACCAACGGGGAAGCTACACTTTAACAAGGGGGATGTAGTATTCAATGGTGGAATGTATTTCGATACAACACCGGCTTGCTTCAGGCAGAGCTCACTGCAGTCACACAGATGGAGTTCTGTGCAGCAACTCTGTTGCTGCTGCTGTACAGAGAAGACGCTTTCAGTTTATAATTTTAGCATCTGTCGTCCCACTAACTATTGATAACATGCAAAAATCAACAAAAATCAACGTAATGGGTTTTATTTCTATAAATAAAGCTAATTGACGGTGGTGGTTGGTAAGTAATGTAATCCTTGTGTAATTGTTGTACGCCCAAACACAATGTAACACTGGTAACACAGATTACCACGCAAGCATAAACGTTAGTAAAGCGTCAATGAGCTATGGCCTGTAAAGGCATGGTGCTGCATAGAGCGCTGTTGGCTTGTCTATTCAAAATGTATTAACATTGAATGTGTTGTGTGTCCAAATTGCATCAAATTTGACACTGCACGTCCTTGGGTCCCCAGCAATACACCCGCCAAGTGTAATGAAGATCAAATATATTGATCTCGTGATTTGCAAAGGACATACAGGCAGTCCTTGCTTTATAGTTAGATTATATATAGTCTATAGTCAAGCTAGCGGTGAGGCTTTGCTTAGGTAGCCGTGCTTCAGGTTTACTGCTAATGTCAGCATGGCCACAGTCTGACTGCTGATATGTTGATTTTTAGCAGGTATAATAATAACGGTGTTTCCCATCTTGATTTAGGGTGTTAGCATGCTAACATTTACTAAATTGCACCAACCACAGGTATAGTTGAGGCCGATGATGGCCTCATAAACTGTGTGTGTGTGTGTGTTACTCTCTTTCTACATATTAGCATTGTATCTACTCTGTGTGTGCACATTTGGCTATTTGACCAGCAGTCAGCTCTGCCAGCCAGTCTCCATCTATCACCGTGGCTTAATTCAATCAGGACCCACGTCTCAATCAGAAACTGGGGTTGGCCGCCGCTCCCGGCCAGTCACCATGCCACCAGCAGCCCTGCCACACCGACAAAGACTCAGACAGGAGGAAGGGAAGGAAAGAAAAAGGGAAGAGAAGGGAGAAAAAGAAAGAACGTAGGGTGAAGAAAGTGGGCATGAGCAAGGAGACAAAGTGAGATAAAAAAAAAAGGCTGGAGAAGAGCAGATGCTGCAGCTGCCACAGTTTACGTATGTCTGTGTTGTGTGATGGAGGACAGACAGGCCATGTGTCTGACCATGCGTTTGTGTTGCAGCTCTGCCTCGGAGGACTTGGGCTGCAGGCGTGGAGACTTCAGCAGGAAACACTATGGTTCGGTGGAGCTGGTGAGTCCCACCCACAATGCACTCATCTGTTTGTTGCTCTCTTTGTGTCTCAGCGTGACCGTCTCCTCATCCTCTTTCCCCTCATCCTGCTCGTTGATTCTCCTCCTCATGATCTCCCCTCCCTTTCTGCCTCTCTCTTCTATTATTGCCTTCCCCTCTTTTCTGTTGGCATGGACGGACAACAGAGGGCTGACTGATGAGTCATGACGTACTGGGTGTGGTCCAGCGATGTGCTTTGCCAGCGTGGATCACAGTCATTGCTCCACTCACAGTGATGCAGGACTCTGCTGCCTGCTCAGCCTCCAAAGTTCATTTGTTTTGTTTTGACGCTGCTGGTGTAAAGCTGCAGCACAGTGTGTGTCTTCGTGGTTGATTACTAAGCTGTTGAGTCATTGTTGCTTTGGGGGAGTGTGTGCGTATGAGTGTTCAACCCTTCACTGCGAGCTGAGTCTGTGCGTCCCGATAGCCCAGAGGGACAGGAAGTCCTAGGGTTTCACACTGCAATCGGACTTCCTACCAGAGACATATTGTGGGTTTGTCCATGAGTGGTGCGCACCACGTGTGTGACAGATTAGTGTTGAGGAGAAACCACATGCTGCCTATCAGCACTAGCAGACTGACACTAGACACAATGCTGCTGTGCGTGTGGGTGTGTATGTAAGAAAAAGAGAGAGTGTATCCAAACACAGCGGTGGGTGTGAGCCAGGATGAGTCCACTGATAGCCTCAATATTCAAAGTGTGCCCATCACACAGCAGTGTGAGACGCCTGTCCCTCTTCCTTCAGGCGTGAGCTGTAGGGCTTCTTCATCTTTGCCACTTCTGCTACACTTAGAATTTGATATTGCTGCTGTACAAACTACGTATACAGCATGTGCAAAGGTTTCTGTGATCCGTGATAGATTGACTAAATAGACAATATGCAGAGGAAGCTTAGTAGAATGGATGAAAAGACTGTAAACAGATGTGAACCTCCGGTTTGATGTTAATAAGAGGCTCCGGCCCTGTTGAAAAATGCTCACTGTAGGCTGTAACCAATAATTCTTGTCATTCATTATTGATTTATTAATGGTAAAATCTACCAAATGAGGCATAATAGTTAAAAAATGCCCCAATCATAGCAAAACCTAAAGGTATTCAATTTACAATTATATAAAGCAGGGAGAGCTACCAGTCTGCACATTTGAATTGTCACCATTTTTGCGATTAAATAATGTATCAATTATTTAAATTTTATTACCACATTTGGTGTTTGATCAACTGCCTATAATGACCTAAATGTTTACATTTACCGAACAAGGTGGATGGATTGACGAGCAAAGTATGTGACATGGACTTGCTAGCCTTAATGAAAATATTTTGTGGAAAGCATTGACGGATGTACAGTGACAGAGTCATAATTAACCTTTATTGCAATTTGAGGCATCTGGTCAATAGTTTTGCAGGCATCTCTTTACCATGGCCTGTGAGAAAATGCTTTTTAGGGTGCTGCTTTTGTTTGTTTGTTTTCACTGCAGTAGAGTCATGCAGGAGTGAGCCCCTAAAACCTGGAAATGAGTTAGCATGTTCCCTCATCTCGAACTTTTATAGGGTCTTAGATACTCTCATATTTTGTCCTATAACATAAAAAATTCATGTAAATACTCCACTCATGAATTTTGAAGCTTTTATTTGTCTTTAAAAAAGGCGGTTGCTAACAAGTGGCTAAAAGAGACAACAGAACGTCATCATGCCAAACACAGTTGTACAGCGTTGTTGTGATGGCAACATTAGCCATTCGGCTGTAGTGTAGTTTGTTTATAGCCTAACATTACCATTTTTGCCTCTGGTGTTTGCATTCATGCTTAAAAATGATAAGAGTGATGTTCATTTGTGAAGATTAACTTATGGAACAAAATGTGTAAGTACCATAAACTTTTGTTTGCCACAGAGCTTCTTTTTTGACATAATCCAAAATCCAATGTAAAAGTCACATCATATTTTTGACAAAGCAACCATGGCACCACTAACTTCCGCTTCGACCTACAAAATAAAGTCATCCCTACTGCGAGTAGCCACTGAGAAAAATTGGAAGCAAAGCTGAGTAGACTTCCTCTGGGCCTGTTTGCTCCTGCTTCCTCACTTTATGCTAAGCTAAGCTAAAACTTGCCGCTTCTAGCCTCATGCAGAGAGTGGTTTTTGTGAATGGGGAGACAAACTGGTATAAAGTAGCAACACCATTGTGCAAAATGGAGAGTTGCTGCTGAAATTCAACAAACAGAACCACTTACAACTTATACAACTTCCTATTTGGTCTTGATGAGTAATTTATGATATTGGGATTGTATCAGTTAAGTGCAACACACACCGCTGCCATACGCCGTGCGTCAAAATGCCCGCCTCCATTATATTTTATGAACCAACCCACACTGGCGCCGGCCGACGCGCTGCACCGCTCTGCTTCAGCCCACTGCTCTATTTCCAGCGCGGCCGGCGCTCATGGCGGTGCTGCGAGAAAAGCCTTTTATGTACGTTTCGGCCGCCGTAGTATCACCTCCAGTTGTTTCAAATTTTTAATAAGACGACTTTGATAAAAAACTCACCCGTGAAATCCAAGTTGTTGTTGCCTCAAAGTTTTTTCTCTTCTTCTTCCGTTACTAGCAGTTGGCAACCGTTGGCAACTAGTGTAGGTACAGCCACCTAGCGGGCTGGGGTGGGAAATACACATCGACGGTACCACTGCGCGCCGCTGCCAATGTGTGTTGGGGGGCGGCACTTGACGGCCACAGCGCCGCACCGGCGGCGGTGTGTGTTGCACTTTAGAAGTGCTCAGGAATAGTTCTTTATTCAGAACTATCATTTCAGTGTCGTTATTAGCAAGAATTATTTTAACCAAGTAAATGTAAGCGTCTGTTTTTAGGATGTAACAGTTCCACAAGGGATAAAAGGGCTGTGTGGTGTTTCTGATATAAGAGTGAATGGATAATGGAAAATTAATGGCAGGGCTTGATAAACCCAGGTTGATCTTCCGAAATAACCTCAGGGAGGCTAAGCACATGATGCCAAGCTTACGTTTCAGCAATTATCTCTGGTCCTTGACTCTGCAGAGAAATTAAGTCTTTGTTTCCCTGTTAGAAAGAGAAATATAATTGCTTGTGTGAACATACAAGGGAAAATGTTTTCTTGCACTGTTTCAGGCTGCATGTCTCCAGGGGAGGTTTGTGCAAAGGTCGGGAGAAAGTGTGTAAATTCAGGTCCTGGTGCCTTTTAGCCAACAAACAGCTCCTTGTGTTGACAGTGTTGAATCTGTGTGCTCGTGGGCAAGATATTTTAGGACCTGACATTTCCATGAAAATCATGGAAATCATGAAATTTAGGATCATTTTACTCTCTTGATTATCCATGATTCTGATATGAAAAGCATAAAATTAAACCTATTTGTCTCCACATACTGTATAACAGAGAACACAAGATATATTTTAAAGGCAAACACTTCACTTAGGGCAGTATTTAAACACGTTCTATTCAAAAAGAACTATTATGTTTAAGTCAACTATAAAACTTTACCAGAGTTAATGATAAAAGTCCTTTTCTTGTCGTACCTCTGAAGTTTCAGTGACCGCGGTATAAATCTCATTATTCCGACTACATATCACTTCACCCTTTGTGTTGTATCTTTTCAAGACACGACACGGACTCCAGTGTATTCTGCTGCTTTGAAGAACATGTTTTCAAATGTCTCAACACAAGTGGGAGATTCAAAGCAGGGTCCCCCTAATAAGAGAGACCAGCATAAGCACAGCTGTGACTCATCCTGTCTGTTTGCTTTATTTTTGGCATCATTGAAGCGGTGGTAGCAGTTGCCAATAAGAGCAGGTACCTCTACAGACACTGTTGTGGTGGTATGATTCACTCTAGTCCACACACGCGCACCACTTTTGACATTATAGGAGTGTAAAGGATGCGATTATATTTCAGCGTGCTTATGGAGAGTTTAAAGTGGAAACTCTGTTCTAAGTGCATTTAATAAGGAAACCTGAGGTTGTAGGAATCAGGGACATTTTTTAAAATACAATGTTCTTTTTCTGTTGTAATGAGACACGAGGATTGGTTTCAGTAAATGTATCCTTCTGTGTGTATCCACTCTTATTAGCATCACATCTTCAGAATTATGCCTAAAGTAGCAAAGCAGAATAACTGAATCAATCCCTCCAACAACAGTCTACTGTTCACTGCTCTGTGAGGATGTACCCAGGCTTTGAGCTGAATGCTCACATCAACACACGAACATGCTCAGTGATAATGCTAGTGTGTTGATGTTCAGCAAGCAGGGTCGGACTGGGAACAAATTTGGCCCTGGCGTTTTTCCTTTGGACCTGTCACCCACTTGACAGGGTGGGGACAGGTGACAAAGACCTGTACCACTGTCCCTCACAGTATAGGTAGTCTGTTGAAAATTTTTCTGACCATGTAACCCCAAATCAGATGGACTGTTCCCACATCAAGTGGGCCGCAGCCAGCAGCTCTGTCTTTATTTCACCTACACTTTTTTTTTAGCATTTCTGGTGTTGGCCTTATGGTCTGCAAGGTGGGAGGGCCCATCTGGCATTTGCCAGAAATGCCTGATGGCCAGTCTGAGCCTGTTAGCAGATATAATGTTTACCATGTTAACCATCATAGCTTAGCTGATGGCATGCAACAGATTTACTGAACTCCAAATGCAACTGAGGCTGGTGGGAATGTCAGTAGTTTTGCAGGTATTTGGCAGTGTCCAGCGTAGAGTTTTACTGGCCCCCTGTATATTTTCAGTGGCCCGGCAGCCAAAAAGTGAACATAAGTCTTTAATTTTTTTTCACAAATTTGGCAATTTATTATAGATGATATGTGCAGTAGTGAAGTTCCCTTAGATTTGATTTGATTTTCCTGTAGTTATTGATATGTAATGTCGATATCTGATTCACCAATCAGCTTGCCCTGCACACATTTTTAATGGCCCCACGTCATCGATTATGTTGAACCCTGG